TGGTGACGCTTGAAGGAAAACCAAGCGTCGCCGAAGGGAAGTGAAATTCCGTGCGACGGCGAGCAGCGCCATGCGACGCCGAGAGCCGAGAGGCGGCATGCGCCACCGCCGACGGGGAGATTCACCGCCGCCGGTGAGTGAAAGCTTGGATTGAAGGGTCGACGGTGAGGAGAAGGGGAGAAGCGCTTCCATCGATCCGTCCATTGATCACGCTTCCATCGATCCATCCAACGGTCACGCTTCCATCGACGTTCAGGTGCATGACTTGGGCTCTCAAGTCTTGACATGACCTGGCTTCAGTCGGACTTGGAAGCGTCCAGATGGTTGGCGGCTCTCAGGTCGTTGGGCTCTCAGAACGGCAATATGGTTGCCTGCAGGGAAGACATAAAAAAAGTCGTTAGCAAAATTTTTATCCAGAAGAATATAAAAGCTTCGAAGCAGAAGAAGTGTAAATGAAAAACTTATTCAAATAATAACGAAGTCTGGAAACAGAGAAAGTTCAAAAAGACTACTTACGTCAAGCGTCTTCATTTTGGCGTGAGGACGTGAAGAGCTGACGCGCCTCAACGGCGAGGACGGGGAGAAACGCCATCGGTCTTGACGTAGCTGGATGGAGCTCCGTTCGTTGGGCTCTGTTTGAGCTTTGGCTTCTCCCCATGAAGATTTATTCTTCGTGCATTCTCGTCTTGTACTGAAGTCGCGTACGGAAGATCTCGCCGCGTACTGAATATCTCGCCGCGTACTGAGAATCTTGATGTGACGAGTTCACGAGAAGGCTATCGCGGTGAAGGTGTTGCCGCGACAACCAACCAACCCAGGGCGTCGTACAAGGTTCCGACCAAGGCACGCAAGCAGCTCGCTAGACTCTCTATACTACCCAACCCACCCCACCCACGACTTCTAATCTACTCTACGCTACCTCAGCGCTGCTGCATGCCTGGTGTTTCCCCTTGTACTAGCCCGGTGGCTTCATGTAGAACGGACTGCTCCGTGGAGCAAGTAGCTTGAAGTCCGTACTAGAGAGCTCGTTAGGAGAGAGCTTCTCTGAACATTCCTTCGATGAGATCGTGAAGGAAAAAAAATGCAAAAATGAACTCAGCCGTGGGACTATACCAGGTTTCGGTGGAAGGAATGAGAGGAAAGAACGAGCTGAGAGCAGAGCAGAGAAGATCGCGTCTGCTGGAGGAAGGCGTAAGCCGACCAGCCGCCTTGATTCTGTGTTTGGCGCTTGCCGCCTCCCGCAGCGCGTTTTCAAATGAAATGTGATGGGTTGCTGGGTGCAGAGGGATGCGACACGGCGCGGCTGCTTTTGTGCCCTGTGGAGTGCGGGAAAAACTTGCATCAGTTGGGTTGCAGGACACAATTTGAATGGATGATGGCGATGAAGAACTGTTGCGCCGCCAACGGTGGGGATTCGTTCAGGCTGTACGATGGAGCTGTGAGTCGCGATTTGGAATTGTGAAAAGTGGCCGAATGTGTACAGTACAAGTGGACTGCCTTGAATAACATCTAGAAAGTTTCAGTTTCACAAACGTAATGTATAGAGTTGAGAGCCTGGTTATTCGTTTGGGTTTGGTTGTCTTGAGGCAAACGAATCATCTCAAGGTGCGTATTGTTTGTGAAAGGGTACTGTTGGGCTAAGAGGTGGGGCAGGAAGATACATTTTTTAGGAGGAGACTGACGTGGCACTTCCTGTAGGTTGAGTTATTTGGTGAGGCTTGCGTGAGGTCCGGGATGGTGTTGAAATGGGCAAAAATATATTTTCAGCCGAAGTCTCGCGAGGTTTAGCTGCTCTCGCAACTCCCTTTCCTGACTGTGAACCAGATTGGGGCAGCTGAAATAGCGAGGGATAGTTGAGGGAAAATCACGAGAGCCAATAGGAATCAAGGGAGGCGCAACCACCACGCCACATCAACCACCACCCTCCCCTCCCACCCTTCTTTAGTTCCGCCATATTCTTCTCTCATCGTCATCGTCCTTCCCGTGTCACTTTCTTGGTTACCAGTCTGTTAGATCTAAGCGCGTTACCGTCGCCTCTTGGTTTTCACCCCGCTTAGGTTCTTAGATCCAAGCGCAGGTTTTTGCACCGTAGGTAGTGTTAGTCCCGCTTATCAATAGCGTTTATCAGTCGTAGTTTAGTAGTAGTCACTAGACGTAGTGAGGTAAATACCGTCAGCTCCAAGTAGCCACCGCCAGTTGCGGGCATCAGATGTTTGTTTAGTCGCCAGTAGTCGTTACAACATTGATTTTCTTATGCATTGCGGCTGGAGTAGTACCGTTCATTTGCGGACGAATAACGAATGCTGAGTTTCGAACGCATCAACACCATCGATTTTCATGCACTTCCCATGCGTGGCATCAAAGGTTCGGTTCGCGCCCATTAGTATCGCCAATACTGCCTACCCGATTCGTTAAGCAGGTGATTAAGCGGAGGCGCCTCAGCATGGATGATGGCTGATGTTAGAAGAAACGTTACAACCCGAAGCGGTAGAAGAGAGGGATGGAGAAAGGTAAGAGCCGTGGGTGTGTTGCGGGAAAGGGAGGGAATGCGGGAAAGTGGGGGGAGGGCAGAGGGGGAGGGGGAGGGGGGGGGGGGGGGGGGGGGAGGGTGGGGAAGAGGAGGGGGGAAGGGGGGGAACGAAGGACATCCCTCTCTCCTTATTTTTTTCCCGCTCTCGCCTCATCCCTTTCCTCTCCGCCCTCTGCTCATTTCCCCCGCTCATTCCCCTCGTTTTCCCCCGCTCTAATCTCATCTCCCCCCTTCCCTTCCCTCGATTTCCCCTCCTCTTTCCCCATATAGCTGATTTCAGATCTCCTTTCTCCTTCTCCTGATCACCCCTCATCACCCTCTCACTCGCCCCTCATCTTCCCCGCTCTCCCCTCTTCTCCTTTATCGCGCATCTCTCATTCCATCTCCACTCCCCCCCACCCCCCCCCCCCCCACTTACCCCGCATTTCTCCCCCGATCCCCTCACCTTCTTGCCACTCACACCCCTCATCTTCTCCGCACTCTCCCCTTATGGCGTGTAGGGAGTTCAAGTGGGCGTGAGTGGAATGGACGTGTGGAGGTTTCAGATGGGCGCGAGCACGGGAGGTGACAAAGGATCACGAGAATGATGTGTTCAGAACGGTGACAGAATGGCACATCAGGTGGCAAGACGCGAGGGGGCAACACCCCAGGTTCCAACATACCTGCTGCAATAAGGCAGGTGTTTGACATGTGACCATTTTCGACGGCATTGGACTGGGATTCGACGTGGTAGTTGGGAATAGGCCGTGTAAGATCCTGTCTCCCAGCAGTTTTTGAGTTGGCAAAGTGTTTTTTTCCAACTCTCATTGCCCTGTTCGTTATCCCCCGTCTCTCCACATTCCGTATGCAAAAGCCCTTGCTGTCGCACCATCACCACTCCTCTCCCTTCTGTTCTCAAGCCGTTCCCCAGCTCTGCTTCACTCTGCGCTCCTCTCCTCACTTTTCTCTCCTCCCCCCCTTCTCCTTTCCCCTCCCCTCCCCTGCCCTCCGTCCACCTGCTCCCTGCTCTCCTCAGTCACATAACAGGGGGCCTGGAGTGGTGGAACAGCAGCCAGTGCTGCCACCAGGGGCATCATTCCAATACACGTCTGTCTGCCTTCTAGGCACACGCAAGGGAGCCATGGTAAGTAAGTACTACCACCACCCCCTCTCATTGCTGCCTCAGCTTGCCCTGCCAATGCTCCTCTCTGCTTATCCAGTTTTCATCTTTTGCTTCACCAGTTCCCTTCACCAGTTCCCTTCACCAGTTCATGAAAAGTCACAGCAGCGGTGGGAGCAGCAGCAGGATATTGGTGATTTGAACCCCAGGGCCCCATGCTCAATTGTTTCAGGATATTGGTTCATTACATGCATTTTATGAGTTAGAACCTTGATGGCTTCACTGTGGAGAAAAGAAAATGACTGACAAACTGTTGACTGGTGGTACCAGTAGCATTCAGGAATTGGATAGCCCACACCAATCTCAGCATAAGATGGCATACTACACAATACATGGGAGCACTGGCCTCTAATTAAAGCGGTGGTCTACATTCATCGGGGTATTTTTGGGAGTTATTTAGGACGCACACCCAGTGACGCATGCTGATTTGTTTATGAATGACCATCTTCCAGAATCACTAGGTGCGAGGGAGCCAAACGGAACTGGCGAATTCCGCCAGTTTTGTGAGGAGGTTTGGTTGGGAAACAACCCTCGAAGACTCCGCGATCACTTCGTGAGGTTGGGTTGGGGAGGGGATTGGCGAAGTTATATAGCCAATCATGAGCAGGGAAATTTCAAGCGGGGGTTGTGCTGTCACAAACTGGGAAACAAGCCTCGCCACGGAAGCAGAAGGCTACCTGGTTTTCAAGTGATAAACCAGAGCATCTCCCGCCAGGTATGTAGGCGACAGCTTTAAAGCCCGAGTACAGCATGGAAATTTTCAAGTTCAAGATTCTTGAACTTGAAGTCGCCAATAACAGGGTTACCCTACTTGTTTTGAGAAAATTCTCGCGACCCCAGGCAATCGTCCTGCGGCAACGGAACCCGAGTGCCCAAAACCAGAACTGACGCGATGATCGCCAACCATTTGTACTATTCACCACTCACATAACTTGCTTACCAAGTAGTACTCATAGGCTAGGAGGCTCCAAGGCAAAAACTAGCGCTAGTTGGCAAAAGCGAGTCGTTGATAGGTGTTTTTTTTTTGTGCGGAAGGAAATATAAGTCCACCTCAACCATCTTAGTCAGTGCACGCTCTAATCTCTCCGTCACGTCACCGGTCTCGTGTTACAACCCGTACACCCACGGCACTTATGTTAGTAAACGAGATTCGTGTTACTCGAGTCTTGCATTCAAGCTCGCGTCGCACACGCAGGATCTTGTCACACTTGCTGCCATTCAGCCTCGTGTCACGATCGTACCGTTTTAGGCACGGGTCGCTCACGCGAATGCCGTACTGGTTCGCGTAACGCACTCAGCCGTTAGTCGCACATGTTCCTCCTCGTCGGCCGCTCTTGCCCACGTCAGACCGCTTTCCTCGTCGCCCGCGCTTTCCCTCATTACCCTCCCCGACCCTCTGGTCGCATATGTTCCCGTAGTTGCCCACGCTCTCCCACGTTAACCACACATCCCCTCGTCGCAATTGCTAGTAGTAAACATACCGTGCTTCAGATCGTCACCCGCGCTCCCCTCATCACCCTCGTCGACCCACACCGATCCTCGCCGCCCTCACCTCCCTAGGTCACCGACATTCCCTCTCGTCGCTCGCGCTTCCCCTCATCACCCGTGCCGACCCTCGCCGCCCTCGCCTCCCCTCGTCGCCCGCGCGTCCCGTCGTCGGGCCTGCCTCCCAGTCACTCGCGCTTCCCCTCGTCATCCGCGTTTCCATCCGCTCTTCCCCTCTCCCTATCTCACCATCTCCAGCCCATCCTTCCTCCCTCATTCCTTCCGAAGGGGTGGGACAGATGGGGAGGAACAGATGGGGAGGAACAGATGGGGAGAAACAGAGGTGGTCGCTTCCGCCACCACAATCGAACAGCGTTTTGATTCCCTATCTGCTACCCACCATCCTCCCCCCAGCTCTCTCCCCGGCATCTGCCCCCGTTCCCCCCATCCTCTTCCCTGTTTCCCCGTATCCCCTGCCGTGCTTCCCCCCATCCTATCCCCTCTTACCCCGTATCCCCTGCCCTGCTTCCCCCCATCCCCTTCCCTGCTTCCCCCCATCCCCTTCCCTACTTCCCCCCATCCCCTTCCCTGCTTCCCCTCATCCCCTTCCCTGCTTCCCCTCGTCCCCTCCCCTGCTTTCCCCCCTACCTCCTCCCTGCTTCCCCCAACCCTCCGTCCTGCTTCCCCCCTCCCTCCGTCCTGCTTCCCCCCTCCCTCCGTCCTGCTTCCCCCCTCCCTCCGCCCTGCTTCCCCCCTCCTTCCTCCCTGCTTCCCCCCTCCCTCCGTCTAGCTTCCCCCTCCCTCCGCCCTGCTTCCCCCCTCCCTCCGTCCTGCTTCCCCCCTCCCTCCACCCTGCTTCCCCCCTCCGCCCGCCCTGCTTCCCCCCTCCCTCCTCCCTGCTTCCCCCCTCCCTCCGTCTTGCTTCCCCCCTCCCTCCGCCCTGCTTCCCCCCTCCCTCCGTCCTGCTTCCCCCCTCCCTCCACCCTGCTTCCCCCCTCCGTCCGCCCTGCTTCCCCCCTCCGTCCGCCCTGCTTCCCCCCTCCCTCCGTCCTGCTTCCCCCCTCCTTCCGCCCTGCTTCCCCCCTCCCTCCGCTCTGCTTCCCCCCTAATTTTCAGTGGGGAAGCAGAGGAGCAAGCTGAGGCGCAGCTAGTCAATGCTTTACACCGTACCACCACCTGTTTCTTGTGTGTTGTATGCAAGCATGATACTTCGCGACTGTTGGAGATATCCATCTCAAATGCACAATATGTACTGTTGTTTCTGCAGTGCAAGATCTTCTTCCAAAATGTAATGACACTAAAAGTGTCAGAAGGGTACATAGAGGCATGTTCCTAATACTTTTGATTGTAACTTTTCAATTCAAGGCCTTGAAAAAAAACATGACGGGAACAGGTTTCTCTACGAGCATGGCATGGGATGATGGGCTGAGGCAAGTTGCAGTAAGTGAAGACAATTCAGTGTAGTCACTGCAATAGCCAGGGAGAGGGAGGGAATACGAGGGATGGGGAGGGGGAACAAGAGAAAAGTCAAACAGGGGAGATATGGGAGATAGGGAAGAGGGAAGCAGGGGGGATGGGAAAGGGGGAGATAGGACGATGTGAGAGGGAAAGGGGATAGGAAGAGCGGGGGTGAGGGAAAGGAGGGGATAGGAAGAGGGTGAGAGGGAACGAAGGACCTTAGGAAGATGGAGGATAGGGAAGAGGGAGAGAGGGAAAGCGAGAGATAGGAAGATGAAACGAGGGGAAGAAGAGGGGGAAACGAGGGGAAGGAGGAGTGGATATGAGTGGAAGCAGGGGGGAAATGAGGGGAAGCAGGGAGGGAAATGAGGGGAAGCAGGGAGGGAAATGAGGGAAAGCAGGGAGGGAAATGAGGGGAAGCGGGGGGGGGAATGAGGGGAAGCAGGGGGGGGGAAAGAGGAGTAGCAGGGAGGGAAATGAGGGGCCACAGCGGGGGAAATGAGGGGAACCGGGAGGGGGGGTGAGGGGAAGCCGGGGGGGAAATGAGGGGAAGCAGGGGGGGGAATGAGGGGAAGCGAAGGGGGATATGAGGGGAAGCAGGGGGGGATATGAGGGGAAGCAGGGGGGGATATGAGGGGAAGCAGGGGGGGATATGAGGGGAAGCAGGGGGGGATATGAGGGGAAGCAGGGGGGGATATGAGGGGAAGCAGGGGGGGATATGAGGGGAAGTAGGGGGGGATATGAGGGGAAGCAGGGGGGGATATAAGGGGAAGCAGGGGGAGAGATGAGGGGAAGCTGGGAGAGAAATGAGGGGAAGGAGGGGGGGGAATGAGTAGAACAAGGGGGGGAAACGATGAGAGCAGAGGGGGAAACGAGGGGAGGCAGCGGGGTAAATGAGGGGAAAAAGGAGGGGTAATGAGGGGAAGCAGATGGGAAAAATAAAGGGGAAGGTAACACGAGGGAATGGAAGGGCAGGGAAGCGAGGGCAAGGGATGGGCAGGTGGGAGAAGACCAGCGGGATTGGAGGCGCGAGGAAGGGCAGCGAGACGAGGGTGCTGGCGCGCTGATGGCAGGGGAGGTGCGGCGAGGCGAGCGGAGGCGCGGGGAGGTGAGCCCAGGCCTCTGGATAGGATTTGGGGTACTCTTTCTCGTAAGGCCAACACCCAGCCTTTACTCTTTCAGTAAGGGTGCTTCACAGAAACTGCTCTTAAAAATCAGGGTGCAAACAAATCTAATCATTCATCTACTATTTTTACTCTCCATAGTATGTAGGATGTTGATGTGGCAGTGTGTTGAGTAGTCGCAATTATGTGGAGGGCCCGAGTTCAATAACCAGCGCGGGCGTCCTGTGCGAAGAAAATCTTTACACAACCAATCCTGGTATCCTCTCTTAGATCGAACTCGATTTCATCAGTGCTACTACACCACATAGCTCTGAAATATCAGTGTCGTATAATCGATCACTTTTTTTTGTAAGGGTCTAAAACAAAACCAGTCTTGTAAAAAAGGGTGCATAGTCAAACCCGCCCTTATAGTAAGGGTCATAAGGGTGAATCACCCTGATATCGAGAGGCCTGGGTGAGCCGAGATGCGGCGCGGCGAGCGGAGGCGCGGGGCGGCGAGCGGAGGCGCGGCGAGGCGAGCGGAGGCGTGGTGAGGTGAGCGGAGGCTCGGGGAGGCGAGCGGAGGCGCGACGAGGGGAGGCTCCCAGAAACTAGGGGAGGCGTGACGATGGGACAGGAGGCGCGGCGAGGGGAGGGGACCCGATCGTCGTTCTTCAAGCCAAAAGCGCGCTGCTCGTCGACCAGACTGGGGCGCGCGCTGCTCGTCGTCCTCTAAGCCTAGCGCGCTCTGCTCAAGTCAGACGGGCGCTGCTCGTCGACCAGACCAGTGCGCGCGCAGGAAGTTTGCGGGTTGACGCGCTGCTAGACGACCGACCATTGGCGCTCGAAACCGTAGACCTAGTTTGGTTGATCGTGGAATTTTTTCTTACTCGTTCTTGTCAGAATCTAGCAGCAGGAATGATGGAACTATGAGAGAATGAAGTACAAATATGAAACCCTAATGTGGGCTGTACCCCATATTGGCTACCCCACTACAGCCTAAGCATATGTAGCATATATATCATTTGACACACCCCCATAGGCAAAGTGGGGGAGAGCAAGGGGTCACAAGACCAGTCAGGAGAAGCAAAGCAAGCTCAGGGTGGATCACAAGGTCACCACACACACTGAGCACAAGCAAAGGGCCACAAGGCCAGTTCACATGCAGAGGTATATATGCAACAACAACAGCACAGTGATCTCTACCTAGCAGAGCAAGCAAGCAGGTATATATATAGATCACAGTACAAACAAAGTCTACAGCAAGTGAGGAAAAGTGGGCACAAGGCCTAACAAAGTGCAGATTCGCTGATGATCACCAGACGGAAGTGCCTTGGTGAATATATCAGCGGTGTTGGCCTGAGTGGCCACGTAACGCAGACGAAGCTGACCACGCTGCTGCAGCTCTCGAGCCAGGAAGTAACGCAGAGCGATGTGCTTCGTTCTGTGCTCCAGTCTGTGCTCCTCACACAAGGCAATGGCAGCCTTGTTGTCGACGTACAGCACTGGAGGAGAACGAGGCCGCTCTCCCAAGTCGGTCAGCAGGTAGGTCAGCCAGCGTAGCTCCTGTGCAGCCATGGCTGTGGCGTAGATCTCAGCCTCACAACTAGAGCTGAGAACTGAAGACGAGCGAGTAGAACGCCAAGAAACTGAACCAGAGCCAAGGCTGAAGGTGTAACCCTGTGACGACCGTTGAGTAGCCTGGTCGTCAACCCAAGAAGCGTCTGAGTGCCCAGTGAGAACAACTGAGCTCCTCCCTCCAAGCACGAGCCCCATGCCTGACGTACTGCACAAGTAGCGCAGTACCCTCTTAGCAGCATCCATGTGCACCTTTCGGTGCCGACCAGGAGCCACGTAGCGAGCCAGAAGGCCAAGAGGGTACGCGAGGTCAGGACGAGTGCAAGTCATCAGGTACATGAGGCAGCCTACTAGCTCTGGGTAAGGACCACTCGGCTCTACGGACTCGTCCGAAGGTGGAGCTGAGAGCGAGTGACCTGTAGCCAGAGGAGTCGGCTGTGCTGAGGACCAGGTGAAGCCGAAGCGCTGAAGGACCTGCTGCACCATGTGTGACTGAGTCAGTGTGATGGTGCGGCGTGCTCTGTCCCGGGTGATCCGCAAGCCAAGATAGCTTGTCAGCTCACCCAGGTCTGTGCACGTGTGTCTCTTCTGCAGCTCGGACTTCACGTGGGCGAGAGCCTCAGTGTCAGCAGTGGCAAAGACCAAGTCGTCGACGTACACGAGGATGTAGAACGGCGGCAGCGACGTGTCGGTGCGCAGAAACAGCGACGGGTCAGCAGTCGACGGAGCAAACCCAAGAGCCGCAAGTGTAGTCCTCAGTGTGTCGTGCCACTCACGTGGTGCCTTGCGGAGACCGTAGACTGGCCGCCGGAGGCTCCACTGGGTACCAGGAGGGAACGACCCAGTGAAGCCAGGAGGGCGGCGCAGCCAGATCTCCTCGTGCAGGCTGCCCTGTAAGAAAGCTGTGCTGAAGTCAAGAGAGTGAAGCTCGTAGTCACGCTGAGCGGCGACGTGCAGCAGCACTCGAAGAGTGATCATCTTCGGGGTGGGGGAGAAGGTCTGAAAGAAGTCTACTCCCTCTCGCTGACTGAAGCCTCGAGCAACGTAACGAGCCTTGAAGACAGGCGGAGAACCTGGCGGCCGCTTCACCCTGAAAATCCACATGCCACTGACGATGTTCGCCCCAGGAGGGGGAACCTCGTCGACGTAGGTGCCAGTGGACTTCCAGGATGCCATCTCTGCGTCCATGGCTGTCTGCCACTAAGAGGAGTACTCACCTGCGATCGCCTCAGCGTAAGAGCGCGGGGTCGGGATGTCTGGAGCATCCGGGTCTCCCTCAGGGGCAAGCAGCATGGACACGAGGTGAGGCGCAGCGGCTGCAAGACACTCAAGGTCCTCCTGCCTGTCCTCAAGGACGTCCGTGCCAAGAGCACACTCACCCCCGACGGACGGAGGACAGAGAGACTCAGACTCAGCAACAAGACTAGCGGCGTAGTCTAGACGACAGGCAGCAGCAAAGTCAACAAGCTCAGCAACAAAGGCAGACGCAGCAGCAGACTCAAACGACGGGTCAGTGACAACTGTGGCTAACAGACGCGTGACAGTAGAGTGAGCAGCACGGGTGCGGTCAGACTCAGGCTCAGGAACGGTAGGCAGAGAAGACGCAGGACAATACGTGGGGTAACGTGGTAACCGCAACGGTAGGTGGGCCCGAAAAAAAAAAAACGGTCCTACGGACCTAGTGCTCTGAAACCATGTCAGAATCTAGCAGCAGGAATGATGGAACTATGAGAGAATGAGGTACAAATATGAAACCCTAATGTTGGCTGTACCCCATATTGGCTACCCCACTACAGCCTAAGCATATGTAGCATATATATCACTTGACAGTTCTGAGGTGGTTTTTGCTTCCCATTTTCGATTTTGCTAGTAGTTGCATTGTGCGTGGGTATTCTCCACACTTTGAACCTGATTGGCTGAAGACCAGCCCGTGCGACACTCTTTCCAGTCGCCCTGCACAGTATCGTTCA